TTCCCGTATTCCACGAGTTCGACAAGCTTCTCTTCTACATTTTGTTCCGTAATTTCCGTCTGAAGATTGTCTGGGAATAAGTAGGCAGCAAACGTGCCAGCGGGTCGTGCGGTCTCCCCTGCCAAAGGTGTGGAGTCGGCGGCAGAGACCATGAAGTGTTGCGAGGCAAGGGAGGGGTGTTTGAGGGTTTTGGATGCGGCGCTTATGATGGGGAGTTTGTCAGTTTTGGAGGGCCATGTCGCGGGCTGATGTAAAAGGTTTGGACAAAGGGAGTGGTTGAGCACGTTGGAGGCTCAGCTCCGTGGAGCAGTAGCCATCGAGGAGGAAGCAGCTACTCACAGTATCTACGCGAATGATGATATGCCGGCTGTATGGCTGCAATGTGTCGGGAATGAAGCTCAAATGTGACCGAGTCTCCAAATACACATAGCCCATCACCACTTCATACCTTAACAGAGTTCACGATGGAGTCCTTGTAGTCAATATGCTTGGCAATATCGGCCGGAATTTTCAGTTTTTCGTCACAATCGACCGGACAGTCGGCGCATTCGTCGGGCTGGAGGATCGGGATCGCCAGAGAAGCAATTGAGGTTCAGATAAAGGTTAAGATAATGCGATATAGTAGCTCAAAGTCGCATCACTGGCATCACTGGCGACTGATGTGACGGCAGTTGTCACGAGAGACCGAACTCACCGCGAACTGCAGTTCCGGAGGGAAGGCAGAATCGGGTACTTTCTTCTCTTCAGATGCTCCGCCAAAGAAGCCACTGATGGTGTTGAAGAGAGAAGACATGGGGGAGTGTGGATTTCGGTGTGGAGGTGGAGAGTGCAAATGGGGGGTTGCCGTTTCTCTCTGATCTACAGGCAGGACCCTATTTCAAAGTTGACCCCACAAGGTGGCTTGCGTCATAAGCAAATCACCAAATCACCGTTAGTTCGATACTCTCAGCCGTGAAAATTACCAGTTCATTTGTCGGGAGCATTTGTCCGGGAATCCGATGCTCCGTTGCAGGATCAAGCAAGATCACACTGCGCTGCCGGCATTGATCAGCAAAACAGGGTGAACGAAAGAGAGAGCGCGTCGCCTGGCACCGTGAGGCTCAAAGAGGAAGGAATCGTTCACGTCGGATAAAAAGTCTCCATACAAAAAGTCGTCGCCTGCAGGATTCGAACCTGCGCGCCCAAAGGGCATTGCCTTAGCAGGGCAACGTGTTAACCACTCCACCAAAGCGACAGATGTCTCCTTTTGATCACCAGGTAAGAATATATAGAAATACATCATAGTTGAGAGGCTCGCTTCTTTTATGGTGTGATCTTTCCTCAATTCGACAGTTGGCAAACCATGTCCACCGACGACTTCTGGGTGTT